CTAGGAGCCCAGGAGGGGCCCACAGCATGGGGGACGGGTGCTGAGAAACAGCCGGCAGCTGTGCAGGCCGCTGCACGAGTTGTTGCTGGTGAAGATAGGCTCTGGGGCTTCGTACAGCGTCTCGTCTGGGGGAACAGGAGACAGGGCGTTGGGCAGCCCCGCCCCCCTGCTCCCCAGGTCTTATTGGGACCTGGCCTCGTAAAGCGTCTCGCCCCTCCACACCTCGGGGCGCAGAGATCTCTGTCCACCCGGGCTGGAGCTGTGCCCCCAGCACAGAGCCTGGCAAACAGCAGGTACCTAGTAAATGTGAGCCTGGTGTGGGGTTCAACCTTCACTCTTGGAGGTCTGAAACACTCCCATTTGCAGATGGGAAAACAGAGGCTTGGGCAGGGCCTGCTCTGCCCACTGTGGAGGTTGTGGGACTCCCCAGCCTAGGCTGTGACCACCCCCTGACTCTGCTGACTGCTCAGTGGATTCATTGAGTTGAGAACCCAAGAGTGGGGGCCTGGAACCTACATGACCCCCCCAGATACTTACTGGTTGGCCGAACATAAACCTTCAGCCGCAGGCAGGGCCGGTCCACTGCATTGGGTGGCGTGGCAGCTAGAAGAGAGGGGTTGGGGGTTAGTGGGGCAGGGGGCTCTCGGTATCTGAGACCTCCTGGAGCTGCATCCCCTTCCCCATGCCCATGAACCAACCCTGACCCCAGATCAGGGAATCTACCATAAAACTCCTAATCATACATCACAGCCCCAGACACAATGCCCATGACTTCCCAGAAGTCCTCTTGCACACTCCCTTTGCTGAATGCTAACCCCAGAGATGGGGAGGTGGCAGGTGGGTGTCTGTGTCTGGCTCTAGCTCACCCCAGGGCAGCTTAAGGCACGGTTCAAACGTGAATAAAAATAGGTTTGTTTTCAATCAGCAAAGAATCAGTGTAACCGAATGACTGACTCAGGATAAATCCCTGCTCTCAGGCTGCTTGTTAGCAAGTAATCCCCTATCCGGGCCTCAACTGGCCCACAGGAGGTGTTTTGGAAATGAATATTTCCATCTGGGGGGTGATGGGAGCCCAGTTACCCTGGGGAAGGAGGCAGCATTCCTACCTCACCCCGACCGTGACCCACACCGCCCGGGGTCACATGGAAGCTGAAGCACATTGGGTCCTCATGCCTAAAAATTCCACCGTCGGCTCCCTGCTCCCTAACCCACTTGGCAAGCACACGGAGGGGCACGGCAGTGGTACCAGAGCATCACTGAGGACTCAGGAGGCAGGGGTTTGGGGACCAGGACTGGCCAGGGCGGGAAGCCTGAGGCCCAGTGGGCGGTGGGGTTCATGCGCTCAACAGGCGTGGGCCCCCACAAGGATGCGGCTGGGCCTGTCCCTGCCCGTCCTCTCTGCGGCCATCACCTCTGCCCGCCCCCTAGAAGCCCCTCACGCTGGGAGATGAAGATTAAAAAGCACGTAATAAAAATAACATTCGTCACAGAGATAGGACGAATAATTACAATAATTATCTTTATGAAACTCTCGTCTCAGAAAGAAAAATGTAATTTTTCTTATATTACGGGGACTTAATTTAAACACCTTCTTCCCCTCCCCCAACCCCTCCTTCCTTGAATTAAAAAGAAAAAATCCAAATAGAGCAGAGAAAGGAGGAAATGGAGCCTTGTGGAGTTTAATTTGACTCAGTGGGAGCCGGGACGGCAAGGTGCTGGCCCCATCCTGAAGTCCCGGGGCACAGACCCTCACTCCCCACCTGCTCCCCATCAGCCCCCAGGAGGCTGAGAAGCAGGGACTCCCCCAGTCCATCTGTCTCAGGGCCTCAGGGGCGGCATGAGTCCGATGCCAAGGTGGGCGCCCTGATACCCCCATCTCGGCAGGGGCAATTCTGCGACCCCATATTCCTGACACAGGTTCCCAGAGACAGTGGATAGCCTGTCTCTGCAGAGGCCCTGGAGAGCAGGAACCCAAACCCAGGCCTGACTCAGCTGCCTCCCCAGACCCTGCCTTGGCAGTTGATCAGGAGAGGAAAGGGGCCCTTTGGGGCCCAGCAGGGTTGGGGGCAGCCTACCCAGCCCCAGGACCCCAGCTGGGCATGCAGGCCCAGTGTCCTGAGCAGTCACCAGCCAACCTGAAAAAGTAGCCTTGACAGTCTGCAGGGAATCTGGGGGCCGGTGGGGGGGCTGCGGGGAGGTGGGGAGATCCCAGCGGTCCAGGGTTGGCCGGCCTTCACCCCTCCCTCGCCAGACTCCGCAGGCCTGTTCCCCAGCTCATTGCCGGGTTGGGGAGCACCCCTGGTCTCAGCATGGGACAGGCTGATGGTGGGGCCACTGCTCCCGCAGCCCCGAGGCCCAGGGGCCGATCCAGGGACAGAGGTCGCAGGAGGGCTCGAGGGCAGGACAGGGAGACCCGGCGCAGGGCTGGGCGCCGAGCCGGAGGCAGCGTGGGCGCAGGGACGGCCCGGCCCGCCCGCCCGCACTCACAGATGTAGTAGTACTCGTGGCCCGGACGGAACTCGAAGCCCAGCGAGAAGGGCGTGAAGAGCTGGAACTTCTCGGAGAACTTGAGCGGCCCCCCGGGCGCCGCGGGCCGGTTGCACTCCCAGCGCTTGAAGCCGCGCTGCCGGTGGTCGCAGGAGGCGTGGCCCTCGCCGTTGACCATGTACAGCACATAGCGCTCCATGCGCTCGGCCGGCGGCAGCGGCGCCCCGTAGTGCGGGCAGTAGATGTCCAGGTAGTCATTGATGCTCACCGCCACCGCGTAGCCACCGCCGTCGTCCTCAGCACCCGCGTGGAACCTGCGGGAGCGGCCGGCCAGCGGTCACAGCCCGGGAGGGGCGGGGATGGGGGATGGGGAGCACAGCGGAACGGAAGTGGGGAGGGGAGGGGAGGGATGGGGAAGATGGGTAGGGGTCAGTGGTCAGCGTGGGAGCAGAGGCCGGGGGCGGCTCTGGAGCACCAGGGCAGGCAGGGGAGGAGGGGGGAGATGGGTCAGTTCAGGGACAAAGGAGTAGGTGGGAGATGGGGCAGGGGGGTGGTTAGGGGACCGCTGGGCAAACGCCCTGCCCACAGAGAGGTGCCAAGGTGTGAGCCCATGGTGCCTTCCCTGGAACAACTCACCACCCAACCAGGCCACAGCAGGTGCCTTGAGGCGGTGGAGTCCTGAGCCACTCACCGGCCCACAGTGATGTGGGCGCTGGGGAGGAGGGGCTGCCGCCGAGCATTCTGGGTAACCAGATGCAACCGAGCAGGCTCCCTGTGACTGGGAGCCCCCCCACAAGCCCCTCACCCTGTGCAGAATCGACATCTGTGCCCCTCAGCCACAACAGGCCTGGCCCAAGATACTTCCCCTCCCAGGAAGTCCATCTCCAAAACTAACTGCTTGACTTCTCTGCCCCCTCCTCCAGGCAGGCCCCCCATGCTACCCCCAGATGCAGCCTCCTTAGCTTTCCTTCTGCAGATCTGCCCGGCAAGAAGGCAGGCCAAGGGCAGGGGGAGACATGGACCTCTCTGGGACAGGCTTTACCCCTCCCCTAGTCTCAGTTTCCCTGAAAGGGGAGAGGCTTCCTGGGAAGGCTGTTCGGGCCTCACTCCCTCAGTCCAACTCAGGGATGCCCTGGATTCGACTGCCCCCAGCACCGCCCCTTCCATACGGTATGGCATCCTGTGCTCTCTCTTCAGAGCCACTAAAACCTGGCAGCTACCCCTCAACCTCCGGGCCACCCCGCCAGGTTCCCCACCCTGACACCTCTGCCCCCAGCCTTTGCCCTGGGGGTCTTAACATACTGACATGCAGCATGCACCCCTTTCCCCAGGGGACCCCCCCCGACCCAGCCTCATCTGATGAGGATGGAGGTCAGCTGAGCAAGGGACCGGCAGCTCCCCCTCCATCATCGCCTCGGGCTACAGCGCCAGGAGCCCTTAGATCTCATGGACGCGGTCCCCCGGGCCCCTGTCATGTAAACGCGGCCTGGACCGAGGGGGGACAAGGGGGCCTCCCAAGAGGGGCTCATTAGCACATAAAAAGCCCAAGCAGCGGAAGGCTGGGGGGCAGGCTCCCCCAGGCTGTCCCTGCCTCCTCCCTCCCTGCACTGGCAGGGAAACTGAGGCCCAGTGAGACTCGGGGGCAGGGAGGGCACAGGCTGCTAGGATCCCAGCCCCTCCGTGCCTGCTCCACCAGCTGCCCCAGCCCGCGGGAGGGAACAAGGCAGGGCCCCCATGCCGGCTGTGGTGACTGGCACAGTCAGCACCTGAGGGGGCGGCTGGATCATCAAATGGCATTGGCCTGCCCCCGGCCACCCCTGAGACTGCACCAGGCAGGGGCAAGGGCTCCTGGAACCCCAGAGGTGGGAAGGAGGCAGGCAAAAGACCTGGCTCCTGTACCTCTGTTTCCCCAGAGAGCCAGTGTGATGACTTCAAGTCTGTCGCTGACGTCAAGGCTCGCAGAATTTCTTGTCAGGAAGCTGGCGGGGGGGGGGCTGGATGCACCCCCAGCTGCTTCCCCCCTCTGCTGGGTTTCTCCAGGGACAGGGAGCCCACCCACGTCCCACAGAGGTGGGAAAGCATTTACAGAATAAACGTGTCTGGCAGCGGGGGTCAGTCGAGGGCCAAGGATCCACCTAATTCTGGTACAGTGGCAGGATGGAGTCCAGCTGGGTCTCTCAGTTCCTCTTCTCAAAGCCTCAGTTTCCAACTCTGTGCAGTGGGGATGGTCCTTGAGGCTGATACTGGGAGAACTCCAGCGGTGCACACAGATGTGGGGCGACCCTGGGTCAGGCTGGGACCCTGCTGCTCCCTTGGGCCGACCCACGGCTGGCCGGGCACAGGCATCTCATTGACCAGCCTTGTTCTCCGGCCCCTTGGGCGCGATCGATGCAGAAGCTGCTCCAGGCTTTTTGAAAAGTCATTTTCACTCCTTCCCGGCCCCATTGATCAGCTGATCGATGACAGCCGTGGCCCAGCAGCCGCCCGGGGACCCACCCTCAGCAGGCAGGCCCTGCGGCAGAGGCTGTGACGGGTAACCGCAGGCAGTGGGGGGGTCCTGGTCCCCCACCCAGCTCTGGGCCTCAGTTTCCCCTCTCATCCCTGACATGATGCTGGAGGATATACACTCAGCCTGAAAGAGAACCTGACTGTATGCAGGGTCTTCCCAGAGAGGACGGACTCCAGAAGGTGGGGCTGCAGTGTCTCCCCTGTCTCTCCCTCCGCCTCTGCCTGTGTTTCCCCCGTGATCCCTGCCTTCCTCCCGCGGTGTCACCACCACCATCACGTTCCCCTCAGCTCACCTTCTGAAAAGACCAAAAGCTGCTTTACTGGCTCAGAGGCTGGATGTCCAGGCCCCAGCAGGGTGGCCAAGTTCCTCCCAAAATCCAGGGCTCGCTTTTCTGAATGCAAATCAGACCCTGTGATCTGTTGGCTCAAAGCCCTTCACTGGCTCCCCACCACTCAGAACAAAACCCACAGGCCTCTCAGGCCCACCAGGCCCCGTGTGGCTCCCACCCTCCACCTCATCGCCCTCTGCCTCCCGCAGCTCACCCTCCAGGCCGAGCTGTTCGCACCCCAGGGCCTTTGCACAAGCGGCCCCCTCTGCCTGAACGCCTTTCCCTGCTTCTCCCACCTCATCTCACTCAGGCATCATTGTATGTATGTGCCTTCACACAGCTCACTGCCTGCCTTTCCCGAATCACAGGGTCGGCCTCCTTCGCTGGCCCTTCCTCTATGGCCAGCACAGGCCCTGTACACAGTGGCACTCAATGCATGTTTGTTCATTGAACAAAGGCCAAGGGTGCAAGGTCTTTAAGGTGCAAGAGTCATGAAGAGCAGAAAGCTGTCCCTAGGCTCAGGAGTGAGGACCCCAAGCAGGGGGGTCCCAGGAGAAGCACGGCCCCCTCCACCACCACCTGAGCTCTGGCCTCCTACATGGGCCACTTTTTTCCCTTCCCCACCCTAAAACAGCGCCGGCCTTGCTGCGTTGGCAATCCTGGTTCCAAGCTGGCGCCTCGCCCCTGCTCAGGGTGGCGCCTGTGCAGGGGAGGGGGCCCCAATCCTAAACCAAGCCTGGTAAGAGCAAGACAAGCCTTCATTCCCTCCATCAGTGCCGAAGCCTGATATGCAAATACTCTGTGGGAGAGGCAGATAGAGATCGAAATTCTCACTAAGGGGTTAATGACTAACTTGGGATCCCTTCCCAGACAGAGGGCTCCCTGAGGCTTTCAAACCTCCCTGCCCCCACCCAGCCACACCTTCACCCTCAGTTCATCCTGCCAGCTGCCTGCCAGTGTCGGTTCCTCCAGGCAGCCCTCCCAGCCCCCAGTGACCCTCACCGGCCATCCCAACCCCACCCACCACCCCCTCCCTGGCAACCATCCGGCATGTAGCTAATTAGCTCCAATCGGGAGACTGTCAAGTCATTAGATGCTAATCGCAAAGCAACTAATTAGGAGTCTCACCCCAACTGGGGGTGGGGGTACTGTGCCACCTTCCCAGACTGGAAACTGAGGCACGGGTGGGACAGGCAGCAGCCAGGCCCTCATCCTGCACCCACGGGAGTCTGTGTCCACCTCAATCCCTGCTCCTCTGCCTCCGTCTCCCAGGTCTGAGCCCGTTCACAGCTCCTATTAAAGAGGCGTTGGGGGATGGTACAGCTCAGTGGTAGGGCGCATGCTTAGCATGCGTGAGGTCGTGGGTTCAATCCCCAGCACCTCCAGTAATAAATAAATAAATAAATAAATAAATAAATAAATAAATAAATAAACCTAATTACCTCTCCCCATAAAACAGACAAACCCTCAAAAAAGGGGGGCTCAGAGATACCAGCAAAGATCCCAGCAAGGAGCACACCCAGGCCGCCCTATAGGGAGCAGGGTCCTGGGGCTCAGGGTGGACAGAGCCCGCCCACCCCTGCCCACCACCCCCAGCGAGACCCGAGACCTCAGTGCCCTCCCCTAGCCAAGAAGATGCTGGCCCCATTTGAAGTCTGGCCAGCTTCCTCCAGCTGGGGGCGGGGGCTGGGGGTGGGCTCTGGGTGGGACCTCATGGAAAATTAGGGCCTCAAGGGAGTGCAGGGTCAGCCGAGAAAGAACGATTATGGCCTTGCGGGTACAGGGGTAAACTGAGGCAAAAGCCCCAGAGCTGAAGAGGTAAAATAATGGGGCAGGGTGGGCAGGAGAGGTAGGGGAAGGCCGCAGGGTCAGCCCCACCCAAAGGCCTCTGTCTCAGGTGGGAGGAAGCCTGGGTGCACAGTCCACAGGGAGCACCTACCTTGGTCACCCCACCCTCCCTCGCCCCTACAATGTGCGCAGTGTCCCTGACACTCCTTGGCCAGCCCCAGATGTGGCCGCCTCTTGGGGGGATCACCCCAGTTGGACCCAACTTCCTCACGGCTGTAGGTGAGTTGCTCTGGGTCCGCAAAACGGAGGCATAAATGGGAGGCTGCCTCCCGGAGTGGGCAGATTAGGGGGTTTGTGGCTGGGTTGGGGGGCAGGTAAGGGCAGCATGGCCCTTGCAGTGAACGGAGCCTCCCGAAGCCAAGGTCCCCAGGCCCACAACGAGACGGAGGCTTGGCCCAAGAGTGGGCGTAGGGGTGAGCTTCCGGCCTGGGCTGACTGGCCACAGAACTCAGAGCCAAGCTTTCAGTCATGCACCTGGGATGCCCACCCTCTGAGGGACACAGCCAAGCCTTCCCTCTGGACCCACCTCCAAAACAGACAGTTCCCCCAAAGCAACAGGGCGGGGCAAGGCTGGCCAAGACCTTTGTCCTGAGGAGGGGGGCAGGGGATGGGTGTGTCATGGAGAAAACATGGCCTGACTCAGGGGCTGTGG